GCTTTGCCAACTCACGGCTCCCCCAAGCAAGGTGAAAACGTACCCACCGGTACTCTTGCGCTTGCTTTGATCACCGGCATAATCCGAATCGGTGTAGCCCTTAAGCACGATTGGACCGGCTTCATATACGATTCCCAAGTTGGGTGTGCCTTGGAGGTAACGTAGAACACGTCCTCCCGTACGCACATGCTTGGTATGAGGGTTGCTTACGGCTCGTCCAAGTACCCCGGCGGCGTATGAGAGGTCGGGACGGGTGGAAACGGCGGCATAAATGAGTGAGCCGACTAGCGAATGAAACCGCTTCCCTTCGGCTTCGTCGAGGGCAGATTCTTCCTCTCCTGGGAGGCAAGAAAATCCCGTGTCTAGTGGCGTCCCCACCGGGTTGCTATTACCCATGCCGAAGCGCTGCACAACCCCCTTCACATATTTCTCTTGGTGGAGGTGAATGGTCTCGTTCGCTCGGTTGCGGTCGACGTGCATCCCGAGGTAGTACGTCACCGGTCCCAAGTCCCTCATTGCAAACTCTTCCCCTAGCCGTTGCTTAACCTCCCGAATGAGGTCTTTGGATTCGGAGAAAAGAAAGAGGTCATTGACGTAGAGCAAAAGCACCAATTGCTTCTCCCCCTCCTTCAACACGTACAAAGCGGTATCACACATGCTACGCGCGAAGCCGTGTTGAAGAAGAAAGTCGTCGATGCGCTTGTACCATTCGCGTGGGCTTTGCTTCAAGCCATAGAGGGTACGCTTGAGCTTCCATACCCGTCCGCTACCATCATCATACCCCGGGGGTTGCCGCATGTAGACTTCTTCCATTAGAAGCCCGTAGAGGAAGGCGGTGCAAACGTCCAATTGTTCCACCTCGAGGTTGAGAGATGCCGCTAGCGCGAGCAACACCCGAAGAGTAGAGGCCTTCGAAACGGGAACGAAGGTCTCACTATAGTGCTCCCCCTCCCGTTGAGTGTATCCTTGCGCCACAAGCCACACCTTGTAGCGTTCGACACCTCCATCGGCTCCCAATTTCTTCCTAAGCACCCACTTGCATCCCACCAAGTAGGCACCCTTCGGCGGGTCGACGAGCTCGAAAACATCGTTCTCCTTGATCGAAGCTAACTCCCTCTCCATTGCTTGCTTCCATAGCGGTGCATCCGGTGAAGCCAAAGCCTCCTTGTGGGTGCGTGGGTTATCGTCGCCAATGGTCGCTAGGCAAATTGCCGCACTCTCCTCATCGAACTCCCCAACGGCAACTGTAGCATAGTCGGTTAACCTCGTGTTGGGGCGAGGTGTATGACGCCCGCGAGTCAACGCCAATGGTGGGGAAGAAGGTGCGGAGGATGGGGCCTCCTTGGTTGATGGCACCTCCTCGACATCATCATCGCACTCCTCGTTCTCTCCCCCTCCACTTTCGACTCCCTTCTCCACTTGCGGTGGAACCTCCACTGCTTCATCCTCCTCTCGTGCGGGAAGGACGACGGTGAGTTGCGTCGTTTGTTTCTCCTTTGTCGGGAACTTGTCTTCGTCGAAGATCACATCCCGAGACGTGACGGCACGTTTTTCATCCAAGTCCCACACTCGCCAAGCACGCTCGTTCGCCACAATTCCCAAGTAGATCGCCACACGAGCTTTCGGTTGTAACTTGTGGCGAAGTGGATCCGGTACATGGTAGTAGCAAAGGCACCCAAAGGTGCGTAGGCGGTAGAGGTTCGGCTTCGTTCCGGTCCATGCTTCGAACGGAGTCGTTCCCGGTAGCACCTTTGTTGGCACACGATTACGAATCCATGCCGCTAGCGCACTCGCCTCTCCCCACCACTCGTTCCCAAGCTTGGAGTGTTGAAGGAGTGAACGAACGGCCTCCATCAATGTGCGATTGAGCCGCTCCGCCACTCCATTTTGTTGGGGTGTGTAGGGTGTCGTGGCGTCGTGCTTAATGCTCTTGCTTTTCATCCATTTTTCAAGCTCGTTGCTCACGAATTCGCCGCCACCGTCGGTGCGAATGCACTTGATCCGCTTCTTGCCGTCGTCACAAACGTCGAGCGCCCACTCTTGAATTGCTTTGGCCGCATCTCCCTTAGCCTTCAAGAGTCGGGTCCAACACATCCGCGTCGCATCGTCGAGCATCACTAAGAGGAACCACGCTCCTCCCTTTGATGCATGCCGCATCGGTCAACACACATCCATGTGAACAAGCGCAAGCGAGTCCTTAGCGAGGGGTGAGGTACGGCTACCAAATGGCTTGCGAGCCATTTTTTCTTCGACACACGCCGCGCACACGCCCTTCTCGTCATTGCCGGCGATCACGTCAAATCCTTTCGCAAGTCCTTTGTTGGCCAACTCCTTGACCGAGTTGTAGTTGGCGTGCGCAAGCCGATTATGCCACCTCTTGAGAGTCACATTGGAGCCTTGCGCCACATTGGATGAGGCCGTTGTCGGATGCGTCTTGAGTTGGTAGAGTTGTCCGTTGAGAACGCCTTGCGCGAATTGCTTCCCCTTCCAAAAGAGGTTCATCTTCGCGCCATCGATGGTGACCTTCACGTCCTTCTTTGCGAGTTGAGTGACGGAGAGTAGATTCACCTTCAATCCCGGGACGTGAAGCACGTTCGTGATGTCCACCGGCCCGCCATCGACGATGAGACGCGTACTCCCAACTCCAACCACCGGTAGCGATTTGTCGTTCGCAAAGACGACGCGCTTAACGTCTCCCGGAGCACCGATGTTGTTGAGGAGCGACGCCGAGTGCGTCATGTGCTGTGTTGCACCGGTGTCGAGGAACCACGCGTCGTTTGAAGTGTTAATACCGTCACCGGCCAACAAAACGAGCGACTCCGTTGAATCATCCGCCTCACCGGATGCCGTGTGCGCGTTGCCCTCTTGGTTCCGCGCCTTCGATGGAGTCCAATCGCTCGGCCGCTTCCGACATTCACGCCAAAAGTGTCCCGCTTTGCGACAATAGTGGCACTTGCTCGAACCGTTCGATGCGTTGCCCTTGCCGCGCTCGTTTCCACCGGACGACTTCTTCGCCTCACCCTTGCTCCACTTGGGACTTCTTTCCGGAGCTCCCTCCGGAGAACATGGCGGTCTCCACGCTCTCGTTAGCGAATTGTCGGCGTCGCGATTCTTCATGGAGAAGCCGGCCGACCACCATTTCCTTCGTCCAAGTGTTTTGCACGCTATCTAGTGTCGTAATCACCGTCGACCACTCTTCCGGAAGGCCGCAAAGCAAGGTGAGAATCCAATCCTCCTCCGTGACCGTTCCGCCGAGGTCCATGAACGTTTCCCCGAGTTCCTCCACACGAGTCACATACTCGTGCATTGATTCGCCCGCGCGCAACTTCACCATGTAGAACGCATTTCGGGCTAGGATCTTGCCGTGGAGAGTCTTATTCACGTGCATCGTCTCGAGCCGCTTCCATGCTTCACGCGCCGAAGCTTCGAGCTTGATGCACGTGCGCACCGAACTCACGAGGTTGATGCCGATGCGCGAAATCAACGTTGCGAACGCCTTTTGGTCCTTCTTCTTCCATGTCGCGATCTCGTCCTCGTTGACCGGATTTTTCTCCGTTCCATCGAAGAGACCCCAAAGTCCCCACTCCATCATGAGCACTTGGAACTTAAATTTCCACGTGGAGTAGTTTTGTCCCGTGAAAATCGGAACCGCCGACGTGTCGAACACCGTCGCGTTTGTCCAGGGCTCGCCGGGATTCGAGACGACACCACCTAAGGAAGTGCCGGAGGTTTCGCTTGACGTCATCATGCTTGCTACAAGTCGCGCACGTAGACTCTACCGACCAGCTCTGATACCACTGATGTAGAGGCATGTCCTCTACTTGGCAGGAACTCTCAGTTGTTCTAAACGATAGAGCACACTCTCGGCTTTCCAACGAGCCGTCAACCACGTTAATCGCCTAAGTATCTGCCGAGATATAGGCGTTCATGTGAAGGCTATGCTCTTAGAACGTAGGATAGAAGCTCTCTGGAATTTTTGAGTTCGAATGGACCATGTACAAGATGATTCAGAATTTCACTATATGTCATGCATACAAATCAATCACAATTTATAGCAACTCATTTACATCGAACCGCATGTGTAACATCGAGTCGCTACATTTCGCGTCGCTAGTGCGCCGCGTGTAATAATTTCGGTTGGGTGAAATTCGGCCACCGAATTTCACCGAACACACCGAATGTGACTTCAACTCCAAGGTTGGAGTATGGTGCCGCCACGTGGCACCCAAGGGTGAGTCTCCGAAGTCAATCGGTGCCACAACACCGATCCCTAGTCAAAGGGATTGAAGGCACCAAAGTGCCCTCGGTGGGTTGGGGGCATACCACCGCCCCACCACCGTTTCCCTCCAACATCCGGATCATTGCAGTGCATGCGGTTCAGGCCCATTTGTAGGTAGAGGAGGGCTTGAACGACACTTCGGGAGCAACCAATGCAGGTTGGCACAAGCCAGCAATGCGGCGTGCAGACCCGCCAGCGATGGTGCGGGGAACGATGCGAACGACACAAGTCTTCCGAGCACTTTTCGACCAATGGCCCGGGAGGACCCTTTTTTGCCTCAAAGATTCGATGAACCTATGAGTCCACGAGCTCCAATCGACGATGATAGGCCCGTGTGCGAGGATAGCTCAGACACAAAGGAAACGCCTTCTCCTTCTCATGAACGTGCTGCGATGCGTGAGGGGCCTTCGCGCTCGGGACAGGATGCGGAGCCTAGTCCTCCAACGCCATTCTCATTTGAAGATGAGCTATGTCGATGGGTTTTAAACGAGAAGTTGTCTCAACGGGCTGTAGCGGCGTTGCTGCGGATTCTCAACAAAAGCGGCGGTTGATTTGGCAAGGTTTGCGGCTGGAAAAGCCTTCGGGACTTGTACAAATATGTGGCGACCAAGGCTGTCAACACGGACCGATCATGGCAAAGTGGCGAGTGCCGGATCGCGGGGAAGGCGCTTCTGAAATATCACTTCTGTGACAGCCTAAAGGTTAGTCGTAGGTCAATCCCATGGCCTCTTCCATGTCCCTCGGATTCATGCCGGTGAAAGCTACTCAAATTCTCATTCCATGCTACCTTTCCCCCATTCTTCCTCTCCAACATGGTTTCATACGAAGTTTCTCTGTTTCTGAGCCTGTTTTAATGAATCTGGGTTTTTTGTTTTATGCCTTGAGACGCGTCGGGCAGGTTGATACTCAAATGCCCATTCATTCAACCATTTTTCTCGGTGTTTGCGCCTCATCATCCCTCCCTGCTCCTCATTCTCTTTCCCCTATCCCTCATTCCCCCTTCCTTCATCTCATTCTCAGGGTTCGCGCCTCATCCTCCCTCCGTGCCCCCCATCTTCCCTCCCCCACCTTATCGCTCTCCCTCCCTGCTTTTCATGCTCGATATGTGCCCCTCATCATCCGTCCATGCACCTCGTTCTATTTCCCCCACCACTCATTCTCCCTCCCTTGCTTTCATTCTCAGTGGCTGCGCCTCATCATCCCTCCCCCACCACCTCATTCTCCCTTCATGCTCCTCATTCCCTTTCCCCCACCCCTTCAATCTCCCTCCCTGCCTTTCAGTCTCACGGTTTGCGCCTCGGATATCTCACCTGCACCTCATTCCCTTTCCCCCACCCCTCATTCTCCCTCCCTGCCTTTCATTCTCACGGTTTGCGCCTCATCTATCTCACCTGCACCTCATTCCCTTTCCCCCACCCCTCATTCTCCCTCCCTGCCTTTCATTCTCACGGTTTGCGCCTCATCTATCTCACCTGCACCTCATTCCCTTTCCCCCACCCCTCATTCTCCCTCCCTGCCTTTCATTCTCACAGTTTGCGCCTCATCCTCTCACCTGCACCTCATTCACTTTCCCCCACCCCTCATTCTCCCTCCCTGCCTTTCATTCTCACGGTTTACGCCTCATCTATCTCACCTGCACCTCATTCCCTTTCCCCCACCCCTCATTCTCCCTCCCTGCCTTTCATTCTCACGGTTTGCGCCTCATCTATCTCACCTGCACCTCATTCCCTTTCCCCCACCCCTCATTCTCCCTCCCTGCCTTTCATTCTCACGGTTTACGCCTCATCTATCTCACCTGCACCTCATTCCCTTTCCCCCACCCCTCATTCTCCCTCCCTGCCTTTCATTCACACGGTTTGCGCCTCATCTATCTCACCTGCACCTCATTCCCTTTCCCCCACCCCTCATTCTCCCTCCCTGCCTTTCATTCTCACAATTTGCGCCTCATCTATCTCACCTGCACCTCATTCCCTTTCCCCCACCCCTCATTCTCCCTCACTGCCTTTCATTCTCACAATTTGTGCCTCATCCTCTCACCTTGCTCCTCATTCCCTTTCCCCCACCCCTCATTCTCCCTCCCTGCCTTTCATTCTCACGGTTTGCGCCTCGGATATCTCACCTGCACCTCTTTTTCTTTCCCCCATCCCTCATTCTCCCTCCCTTCCTTTCATTCTCGGGGTTTGTGCCTCATCCTCTCACCTCGCTCCTCATTCCCTTTCCCCCACCCCCCAATCTCCCTCCCTGCCTTTCATGCTCACGGTGTGCGCCTCATCATCCATCCATGCACCTCATTCTCTTTCCCCACCCCTCATTCTCCTTCCCTGCCCCTCATTCTCTTTTCCCCACTCCTCATTCTCCTTCCCTGCACCTCATTCTCTTTCCCCACCCCTCATTCGCCAAAATTGGCGCACCGTCCAGCAACAACAAGACATTTGCGCAGCCCTAAAAGCACCAAGACGACGTGGGGAGCCAGACGTGGAAGATCTTTCAACCCATCCTGTCGAGGTCAGTTGTTCATGCTGTCTAAGTTGGTTTTATCATATGTTTCACCTTTCCCTACCTCAGTTACCTGATATTTGATATCGCTTGTATATACAGAGCGCACTCTGGGGATGGAGGTTTGAGTCGGAACAATGGGGGAACCCACACCTAACAGTCATGCCGGATCTTATGCACCAAGCTGACTTGGGCATTCTCGACCATATCCTCACAGCCTTGCGTGGCATCATCCCTGAATCAACACGTGAAGCAATCGACAGGTAACAACTATTGCAATGTTGGCAATATTGGTTCATTTGTAACTGCCCACACACTCAAATATTGCCTCACCACTTAGTTGTTCTTTTCTTGTTCTCAGGCGGCTCAAATATCTCAAACATATTTGTAGGTGGGATTCATTACGGCTCCCGTCTGGGCAATACTTCAAGTTAGGTGCTTCCTACCAAGCGTATGAGCATCGTTCAGTGATGCAACTTCTGCCATTTCTTGTCTCCTCGCACATCGCGCAACCGCAACTGGACGCTGTCATTTCGTACCTCAGTTGGTACTCAGAGTGCGCAAAGGCAACAACATACGACGACAACACTCTCAAACGGTTGCAGGAGCTAGCCGTGAGGTAAGAAAACTTACATGTTTGGAGCATACGTTGTTATTCTCGGACCCTTAACACATGTTTGTGCTCTCCCCAATCTGCAGGATGATCGATCAACTAACAACCGCGTTTAAGCAAAAGTCAAAGTGGAGATTCATCAAGATGCACCTGATAAGTCATTACGTCGAAGCTATCCGTCGTGCGGGCCCACCCATACACTACGATTCCAACATTTCCGAGTTCTCTCACAAGGACCACATAAAACGGCCTTATCGTGCATCCAACAAACGTGACGTATCATGGCAGCTTGTACGAGCGGAGGAGACCAGACTTGCGGTGGATTCTCTTGGTGCATCTGAAGAGACAGAGACGCATTACAACACCGCTATGCGCGAGGTGAGTCAAGGAAATTTGATGCCAATCTCAACAATTGCTTGCTTCATCACTAAACACCTATTGTTTCCCTGCGCAGGCAATGGCCTTTGGCAGGTGCATCATGTCTCGGTCGGCATGGCCTTTGACTGTCTTGGGAGGCCGTCGTGAGGCACCGTTCGTAAGTTTCCCAATTCCCTCCAAAGTGCGTGACGAGAGATACGTCATCGCATTGTGCGACGACCTCCGACACCTAAGGCAAGCCCTTAACCGATTCTCAGAGGCCACAAAGAGCGCAACTACCATTCACGTGCACAATGAGTTGGCCATGCCTCCTGCTACTGACCCATCATTTAGAGCCGTTCCACATCGGATACGTGCCGTGCCGGTGTTTCACGGACGTGGCTGGTTTTCCGACGTAGCCATTCATGGATCCGGTGAGTGGTACGCGAAAGTACTCTTCCTGTTTCACATTGGGCATGGAAGGGATCGTCGCGACAATGCGTTCATCAAGTACTACGACGAACTTCCAGACCCAGATGAGAAGACCCACTGCAAGCAGCTCAAGTGGGCTGCAATGAATCAGAGATATCGGGTGGTAGAGACCACAAGTATACTGCGTGCCGTTGACCTTGTGCAGCCTCAAGCTAGTGAACCTTAGTGGTTGTTGAACCATTTTATATTTTGAAGTGTCATATAATATGGTTGTACATATTTGATCTGTCATACACAGGACATGCTCCCATAATTTGTACCACAAGTCATGAATAATAATGTTATAGTTTTGTTGAGCAATTCCCCATATAATAAACTTCCATATTGTAGTGCACATAACAAACAATGCATATGACGTCCGTGAGAGAATGACGAGGCGCCAAAACACGGTTCATTCTGAACAACAGCAAGAATCAGGATCATCCGTGCGCGTCTACGTGCAGCGGTGTCGCTATCTTGACAGTATGGAAGGCAGCTATTTGTGAGTTCGATGATACGCCACGTGGCGGTACCCTTCGATGCTGTCGCTGTAACCACGAAATAGATTCTCTTTGCGGCTCGAGCTGCATCTGTGTAGAACGTTCGATGGTGCGCGGCGCCGAGACATTCGCCACCCTGCACCAAGAATCCGACATGTGGTTTACGGTACAGCCTGCGACTCGCACTTGTCTGCGACTCGCACGATTCTCCAATGCATAATCGCTTCATGAATTGAACAGCCAATGAAATCGGTTCGTAAGTTGTGTTGAATCGGCATAAATGACTGCTTGTGCGACAAATCAATCGTCGCACACTGTTTTCCAACCAACCCCCCCAAGCGTTCCCGCACGCTCAGCATGGCCAACCAGCTCGCTGCCACTGGTGCCCTAACCCAGGCCCGCGTCAATCAAGCTCAAGGTCCTGGTTGCCCTCAATGCCAACACACGACTTCAGTTCGCCTGAATGGCCACGACACTTCTGGTTACAAGCCACCAACGAAGAAATCTGGGGGGTCCAGCACTCGCCAAGGTGCTGGTAACAAAGAAATTCCTCGCAACCCTGAGCTGCAGGAAATGTCGCGGGAAGATCTTGCTGCGCTGAGGGACAGGCTGAATGCGGAGTTGCAGCGACAGGAAGCTAGCACCGCACACCAGTCACTTCCCGAAACACAGATTGCAAAAACAGCCGTCGAGGAGGAGTTGAACAAAATTTTCGCAACTGCAGATGTTGCCGCCAATACGTCTCAGCCTGAAGCCGATCCGGAGGAAAACCAACTTAACACTCTAATCGACGAGGGCGAAGGTCCTGGCGAAGGTGGGGAGCAGGACGAGGGGGAGGGACATCCCGACGAGTGCGAGTTAGCCGAAACACCCATTATACTGCCTCAGGACGATCCGGCTGAGGATGACCGTCCTGAGAGCCGAAGGCGCAGCGCCGATGTCGCTGGCCTCATGGGCGCTGACCCAGGAGCTCACGCGTCAGCGCGCCCGAAAAAGCAGAAGCAACCAGGTTAGTAAGTTCTGCCCGGTTTCTGTGTTTGTGCAAATTGACGTTTGTGCCACATATTTTCGTCCAGGCAACCTACTAACCTTTTTTTCTTTTTTCTTTTTTTCTTTTTTTTTCATGCAGCTTGACAGATTCCGGTTAATGAGCAGGTGGCACATAACCGCGACATGGAGCGGACGATTGCGCAACAGGCCGACACACTCGCAGCCCTCCGTCAGCAGCTGGAAGAGCAGGAACAGGAGGCTGCACGAATGCGAGCAGTCATTGCTGCCCGCCAGCCGCCTGCCCCAGCAACGGGAGGTAGCCCCGGCCCATCATCTTCCAACAGCCGGAGTACCGGAGCTGGTGCTGGTTTGCTGCACGCAACACCGCAGCGCAGCAGCCCGCTGGCGACCACCAACGCGCCTGGGCCATCGACGGCTCCAGTTGTGCGGGAGGGTGCGGCAATCCCCCCTGTTCTCCTGGACCTATCATTTTTCAAGGTTAGTGTGCAGGGTATCTGAATCATTGGTTAAAGTTAGTCCTGTTGTCTTTGTATCTCTCGTTGACTGACTGACTTGTTTGCATTCTAATAATTGCCTATTCTTCGCTGTCGTCGTGATGTGCAGCAAAAGTGCAACGACGCGGTCAACTATTTCATAGCGGGAGCGCCACCGAGAGAGCAGTCATTTTACCCCTCCCTGGCACAGCTTAGGCGCAAAGTGCAGGAGCTGTAGGAGGACGTTGGGGTGCCTCTTAACATGTTCAACCGGGAGATGGCGGAGAATCCCAAGCGCGAGCGCATCATGCTGCAGAAGATGTCGGAGCGCCGTTGCAACATCTACGCGGTGGCCAAGCCTTACGCGCATGGCCCTGGTGGCTATATCACCGAGAACAAAGTCACGATGCTCGCGAGCGAGAACATTGTGCCATCGTGTCACCGCACGGCTGCAGAGTGGCACGCCTACTTTCGGGATGGTGAGTATTTCTTGTAGCGTTTACTAGCAACAACACCCCTACAGTCTATAACTCCTATCCCGTTTAATCCTTGCAGTTGTGTATGGTTCGAATTGGCACTGTGACGGATCTGGCCGCCCTTTTGCCAACCGATCTTTCGAGCTTGCCATCTGCAAAGGACTTGGCGGCAAGCGCTGCAACCGCTTCAACGCCAAAATCCCTGCTGTGGCAACTATTTGCCATGTGGTAAGTCATTTTTCTTTCCTCTTGGTCATTCTGTTTTCAGTACATATTAGAAATGCACTCATGCCTCTGTGGTTTCCTACAGGTGGAGTGGCCTATGGCGAACCACAATGGCTGTGCCAACCCCTCCCTGGATGCCTCTGATGAGAATAACAGGGCCGCCGTGGCTGCAAAGGTTCTTGTTGTCATCTCTTGGATCAAGGCCCGGCTCGAAGCAGGTGAAGTTGTTTACTCTGATGAAGCTCCTGCAGGTTTTGTTATGGGCAGTGGAGCTGTGAAAATCCTCATCGAAGGATTTGAGTTTGCATTTGAAGGACTTGTACGGTGATAGAGCTACCACAAGGTGGCTCTGTAGGATAGGTAGAGTTCTGACCCTAGGTATGCCATTTAATGTAACTGTTTTTTGAGTAATATAACGATTAATTCGAGCATTGTTTACTGGATGGGTGGTAAATGAATAGGTGTGTGAATAAATTCTGGCTCCTTACATAAGGATATTCAACCAGTTCATGACAGTATAGTTTGGGGCAATGTAACACCATTTATGACAGACTTGAATAATGGCATGGCAATTAATACCGATTTCTGTGCCTCCAATAAGGAGGGGATTATTGCACGCCTATAACAATCGATAAAATGTGGGCTAGTTACTAGACATTCTCATGCCATATATGTGAAGATAGTAAGCAGTCTTAGGAGCCATAGCTAGGAAAGCCCTAGCTAGGCAAGAGAATAACATTCTGACACACCCCCATAGCCGAAGTGGGGTGTAATCTGTACAATGAGCAAGCAGGTATAGAGCAGGAGTTCACAAAGGTAAGCAA